TCGCGAAGGCGATCGAGGCGGAGGAGGACGCCGCGTGCGACTTTGACCGCGGCGTCGAGCCTCTGCGAGAGGACGAACTCGACGAGATGAACGAGCGGTTCGAGCTCCTCGAGGAGCGTAGGCTCGCGCGGATCGAGTTGACGCGCGCGGAGAGGGAGGCGGAGGAGACGGAGGACCTGACGCCGTTCCGCGCGCGGCCGTCGCCGTTTAAGACGACGACGAGCGGCGGAAGAGGAAGAGGGAGGACGACGAACGACGACGACGACGACGACGACGACGGCGACGGCCAGGTGAACCTCGAGGATCGAATGAACGCGATCGACCTGAGCTACGACGGCGAAAGCGGCACTCCCTCCTCGGCGAAAGCGGCGGCGCGCGCGTCGACGTCGTTCACAGCCTCCGCGGCGAAGTCGTTCCACATGGAGGCGTCGCTGCGATCGGAGAAGCGCGCGGCGGAGCGCTCGGCGCTCGAAGCCGAGCGAGCGGCGCTGCGAAAGTCGAAAGGGATCTCTTCAAAGTCGAACGCGGCGAACGTTCGCCGGGCGAAGGTGCTCTTGGACGCGTGCACGCGGTCGGTCGCGGCCACGGTAACGAACTGCACCGGGGCGTTACAGATCCCGAACGCGAACATCGGCCCCGCGTTGCGCGCGCTCGGGTTCTTAGGCGAGACCCCCGTCGGGGTGCGTTCTATACACTGGTCCCCATACGACCGCGTTCGCGTGGTGAACGCCGATCCTTAAGGACTTTCGCCGTCGTCTCTCTCCGCCCACCCCTCCCTTTCAATACCCGCCCTCGGCGCCTTTCAACTCCAACTGACACCTTTCAACTCCACCCCGACTTTCGCTTGTATAGAACGCCGCGCGTCGCGAAGAAGCGCGGCTGGTGTATCGCGTCCGCAACTGCCTGCGCCGTAGCAGAAACGAAGAGATCCCGCTGTGGCTCTTCTGCCGCTTCGTCGGCGCGGTCACCGACGCCGGGCTCGCGAGGGCGTCCGCGACGCGAGCGCCTCGCGTCTCCGAGAGCGGCGCGAGCCTCCTCGACGTGCGCGACGACCAGTCGTTCTCTCGCGGCGAGGAGTTTGACCTCGGCGCCGCGGCGAGGGCGTCGGGCGTGCCGTGGTGGCCGCGCGGCGCGGACGCGGAGACCGTCGAGGAGATCGCCGAGCTCGTGACCGAGCTCGCGAGCGCGAAAGCCAGCCTCGCGCGGCTCGCGTACACGCCGATCGGGCACGCGCACGCGGCGAAGTGGTCGTCGTGGCTCGGCGAGGACGCGCCGAAGGCGCCGAGGTCGGGTTCGGGTTCGGGCGGGAGCGCGAAGAAGAAAACGCAGACGACGAAGCCGTTTTCCTTGGACGACGACGACCACATCGTGGACCGCATGGAGCGCCGGCGCGTCGCGTCGGAGGCTGCGAAGGAGCGCGCGATTCAAGAGAAGGCGGCGCGAGAGCGCGAGGAGTGCACGTTTTCGCCCAAGCTGAACCGAAAGTCCGTCGCGATGGTCAGAGACGCGGACGCGGCGAACCGTTGGGCGGCGAGAAAACTCAAAGAGGGGTTCCACTCGCTCATGACGACGGCGGAGCGGCGAGAGGCGGAGTCGCTCAAAGAGTGCACGTTCAAGCCGGCGATTCGCAAGGCGCCGAAGCGGTGGGACAGCGTCGAGGAGGACGCGACTCCGAAGACGCGGAAGAAGGCGCCGACGACGCTCATGTACGGGAACGGATACGCGTCGACGTACCAGCACGTCCCGGGGACGACGCTTCGACGGCCGTGGGAGCCCAAGCCGATACCCAAGGCGAGACCGGCGCCGAAGCTTCCGACGCCGCCGAAGCCGATCAAGGGCTTCGACGACGCGGTTTATCGCATGAAACTCGGTCGCGTCGTCCGCGAGGAGACGGAGCTCAGGTGCGTTCTATACACACGTTTTTCACCCACCGCTCGGTTTCAACACTTGATCGCGTGGGTCCCTTTCAACTGACCTCCGGTGAACTATTTTTGTATGGAACGCACCTCAGCTTTTACGAGTTCCGCGCGAGGGACGAGCCGAGCGACATGAAGGCGACGCGCCCGGCGTCCGCGTCCGCGTCCGCGTCCGCGCGGAAGCCGTCGACGTCTTCGCCGTCGATGTCCGCGGGGCCGCGTCGGCCGTCCACCGCGGGCCCGCGCCGCGCGGCGCGACGCAGCGCGCCGCCCGCGCCGCTGTCCTTCTCCCTGCCCGAGATGCCGCCGCGCCCCGCCGGCGGTCTCTCCGAGGCGTCGAGCCGCGCGACGTCGCCGCGCGCGACGCGACGCGCGACCGACGCGTCCACGCACGCCGAGATCGTCGCCGCGCTCGAGGCGCTGGAGCCCGCGACGTTCGCGCGGCCGCCGCTCGCGGCGACCGAGCTCGAGCGTCTCCGCGAAGAGTTCGACGCGCTTCGCGACGGCGGCTCGGACCGCCTCCGCGGCGACCAAGTCGTCGCCGTGCTCCTCGCCGCGGGCCTCGAGAAGGCGACGCTGAAGAAGATATGGGCGCTCGCGGACTGGGACGAGGACGGGCAGATGACGCTCGACGAGTTCGTCGTCGCGATGTATCTCGTGGACGGCGCGCGCCGCGGGACGGAGCCCCCGGCGTCGCTGGCGGATTTGCCCGCGGGGACGTTTCCGTTTCCGTTTCCGTTTCCGGCGGCGTCGGCGTCGGCGTCGGCGACGGCGACGCGCGCGAGGCGGCGCGCGCGCGACGACCCCGACCCGCGCGTGGACTCCCCGGCCGCGCACGACCCTTCGAATCCGTGGCCGAGGATCACGCGCGGGGATCTGAATCGTCACCGGAGCGTGTTCGACGAGTTGAACGACGACGACGACGACGACTACCTGAGCGGCGAAGCCGTCGTCGACTTGCTGCTCTCCGCCGGGCTGTCGAACGACGTGTGTAAGAAAATATGGGACCTCGCGGACGCGGACGGCGACGGCGACATGACGTGGAAGGAGTTCGTCGTCGCGATGTACCTCACGGAGCGCGCGAGCGTCGGGCAGGACCCGCCGAACGCGCTGAGCGACCTCCCCGCGGGGACGTTCGACGCGGAGGAAGAGGAAGAGAGGGAGGAGAGCGTCACGCGACCGTCGTTCACGAGTTCGCGCTCGTCCGGCACGGCGAAGCTGCCGCGCGCGTCGCGCGTGAACGCCGACGCCGAGGCCGTTCCTGTTCCTCTCGAATCCCCGGTCCGGCCGCCTCCCGAGCCGACGCCGACGCTCGCGCCGGAGGACCCGCGGTGGCCGCGCTTGACGGAGAAGGACCTCGCGAAGCACAGGACAACGTTCGAGGAAATGAAGGCGTCCGACGGCGCGCGCGAGATGGAGATGGTCGACGGCGGCGCGATGGCCGAGCTCCTCGCGACCGCGGGGTTAGAGCAGGCGACGCTGGAGACGATCTGGGACCTCGCGGACGCGGACGCGGACGGGCACATGACGTGGAACGAGTTCGTCGTCGCGATGTATCTCACGGAGCGCGCGACGGCGGGGCAGCCGCCGCCGGCGTCGATGGACGAGATACCCCCGGACGCGTTCGATCCGGAGTTGCGCGTCGCCGTGGCGCCGCCGCCGGTCGAGCCGGTCGAGTCAGTCGCGCCGCCTTCTCCGCCGCCGAAGGACCCATCGCCCGCGCCGTCGGTCATGAGCCCGAGCGAACGCGAGTTCGTGACGCGCTACGACCCGAAAGCGGTCGACGTCGCGGACGTCGACGTCGACGACGACGACGACGACGACGCGCGGCGGTCGACGCCGCCGCGCCTCGGCGCGGTCACGGTGGTGACGCGGAAAAAGAACGGCGTCGTCAACGTCGTCGGCCCCGTCGTCGGCCCCGCGGCCGTCGCCAGAGAGAAGGTGGCGTCGTCGCCCAAGTCGCCGACGATACCGACGACGCGGGGGTGGCCCTACCGCGTCCGCCCGCCCGTCGGCGACGCGATTCTCTCGCTGGAGATCGGCATCCACGCGTCGTCCGCGCGGCCGGGGAAGACGACCGCGACGCTCGTGTTCCGCGAGGGCGAGGTCGCGAGGGAGGTCGCCGCGACGTTCTGCGACACGCACCGGCTCCCGAAAGGGACGGAGAGGGACGTGACGGCGTTGTTGTTGGAAGCGTTGCGGCGGCACGTGGACGCGTCGAGGTACGAGGAGACGATCGAGGGGTACTGGCGGCCGCCAGGGCACAAGCTGACGCGGCGGAGCAGCGTGACGAAGAAGCCGCCGAAGTCGCCGTACGATCCGTGACTGACGTGACGCGCGGGAGGGCGTCGTCCGCCTTTGGTATTTTGCTAACCTTATTGTCATCGAGACGACGTCGTGTCGCATCCGTCCTGTCGTCGCGCGAACCTCCCCCCCGCGCGGCCGGGTACAGTGTGTACCTGTACAGTACAGTAGCTCGCGCTTGTCGGAAAAATGTTGGCAACCGATATATTTCCTGTCCGAGCAGAGGTGCCAACATTCCATCCGCGCGCGAGATGGACGGCGCGTCCGAGCACGCGCCAACGGCGTCGACAGCGCCGTACGCCAGACGACCCGGGGAGGGCGTCCGCACGACGTCGACGATTCCGGGCGACGGAACCGACGTCGAGATCATGGAGGTGGACGACGTCGCCGAGCGCGTAAGAGCTTTTTCTTTGCGCCCTCTGGACGATCTCGCGGCTATGCTCGCAGATGTCGAGGCGAAAATACCGGAAATGAACGATCAAATGAAGGCGGCCGCCGCCGCGGGGGATTACGAGATCGCGGCTGATATCAAAGCGAGGTCGACGAGGCTCGCGGAGAAGGCGGGCATCATCAAGCGCGCGCAAGTCGCCGCGATCGCCGCGAAGAAAAAAAGAGCTCGGGACGAGCACGAATCGAAGAAAAAACGAGCTCGGGAGGAGCGCGAAGGGCGAGGAGATATCGCGCTTCCAGCAGCCGCGGACGTCGCGGCCAGGGCGAACGCGGTGTGGGATGCGCGCATCGCCGAGATAACTGAACCGCTCAAAAGCGCTCAAGACACGGTGCTCTGCATCGTGAAACAGGGAGTGGAACTCGCCGCGGCGGGGGGCTCGACAAAGTTGAGAGTGCTCACTGGCGTGGTTCAGGAGGCCCTCATACGTGCTCTCTTGCTCTTGACGTCTGAAAAAGCTCGCCAGCTTTATTCTAATCGATATCCTTATCAAAATGGCGGCCGCGGCTACCCGCTGGATGAAATAGTGGAGGAGTATATGGATCAGATGACAAGGATGGCAGATTTCACAGGGTTGAGCCCTGTGGACTTTCAAATTAGCGCTTGGTTTCGCGAGAAGGTGGAAAGATGTTTTCGAGAAGCCCCTGAGAAAGTTGTGGGAGGAAGAGCAAAAGCACAAAAATCTTCATCATCCATCCACATATGATGAGCGTGAACGTAAATTGGACTTCACACAGTCGGAAATGGAGCACTTGCGCAATCACTTACATGTCTATAGGATCCGAGAAGACGACGACGACGCTTAAGAAGAAGCACCTCCAGAACTTCCGGTCGATTACATCTTAGACGTCGGTTACTGTTACGTACCAGTCGGTAAAAACCTTACCCGCGATGATATTGTCTCTTTCTACGATCTCTGTCACGCGTCGAGGACGCTACAATACGACTCCTTTGAACTTGGACCTTATCCCCTGATGCAGCTATTTTCTTTTTTTCTTCATGATAGTGAGCGTTTCGACATCGAGCGTGAACGTTTCCTCGAAATCGCCTCCTCGTTCGACGGCGAATTCGTTCACAGCTTCGAAGACGTGAAGGCAGTGTGGGAGTCTGACGTAACTTGCCTCCAAGTCATTTGGCACATGCGAAAAGCAGGATATAAGGTAAGGAGTTTACCTACCTTAATCGTACACGTACACGAGGAAGAGGAACAAAATGAAGATGGACAGTTGACCCTCGAGTCCATTTTGTTCACGGTCGACTTCCTAGGTGCGGCGGATCCTGCCGGCGAGAAATCCTTCCGAAGATACGCGCAAGACGAGTTGGATGGATTCGGCGCTGTACGTTTGCTAACTTAACATGCTATTTAATGCGCATCGAAAAACAAGACGATCGCCGTCGGCTCGAACGCCGCCGCCGCCGCCGCCCGTTTTTTCGGTTTTCGTGCCGTTCCTACGTGCCTATCGTCGTGTTCCCGCCACCCCGCTCACGTGTGAAACACGAACGCGGTCCTGTCGTCATCGTGCAACGACGGCAGCAGCGCCCGCAGCGCTCTCCTGTCCTCCGCCACGCCCACGCAACCGCACACGTCCAGCGTTCGCAGCGACCCGTCACCGGTCCGCGCCAACGCGTCGACAAACGCGCTCGTCACGTTTCTGTTCCCGTGCGCGCTCATTATCCGCAACCGCGGGCACCCCTCCGCGACCGCGACGAACCCGACGTCCGTGACCGCGTTACACCACGACATGTTCAGGTACTCCAAGAGCGGGCACCCCTCCGCGATCTCCGCGACGGCGTCGTCGGAGATCTCCTGCGAGCCGCACACGTCCAAAAACGTCAACTGTGGGTCGTTCCATACAAAGCGATGGCGGGGTGGTGTTCAAAGGCGTCAGGTGGAGTTGAAAGGCCCCGAGGGCAGGGATTGAACGCAAGGGATGGGCGGAGAGAGACGCCGGGCAAAGTCCTTAAGGATCGGCGTTCACCACGCCAACGCGGTCGTATGGGGACCAGTGTATAGAACGCACCTGCGACAAGACGCCGACGCAGCGATACGCGCGGCTCGTGTACCGCGCCGCGGCGTACAGGTTCAACGAGACGAGGTGATCCGCGATCCCAGGCGACAGCACGATCGCGGTCAACCCATCGTCGGTGAACGCGCATCGCGTCAGGTTCAACGACTCGACGCGTCTCAGCTTCGACAGCGACTTCGCGCTCGCGTCGGTGAGGCGCTTGCATCCGCTGAGGTTGATCGATCGCAGCGCCGGGCACGACGCGCACAGCGTCGCGATCGCGTCGTCCGTCACGCGCACGTTCCAGTAGAGCCCGATGTCGCGCAAGCCCGGGTTCGCGCGCGCGATGGCGATCACCGCGTCGTCGCCGACGGACTGCGCGCCGTTCAGGTTGACGTCCTCGAGCGTGGCGCTCGGCGCGAGCGCGGCGACGTGCGAGTCTTCCAGTCGCAGCGCGAACTCCAGGCGCAACGTTCGAAGCCCGCGGACGACGGCGTCGCCGAAGCACGTCACGCGCTCGATCGCGTCGCCGGCGTGGTGGCTCCCGCTGAGGTCCAACGTCGGGAACGGCGCGTCGACCGTCGTCGCGTCGCACGCCTCCTGGACGTGGCGGAGCCTGTCGCGGATCTCGTCGGGGGGGTCGTCGTCGTCGTCGCGCGCGTCGACGCGGCCGAGACTCGTCGCGCGCGGGTCGTCGTCCGGCGACGGCGGCGGCGCGACGTCGGCGGCGGCGTCGGTGGACATCCCGCGACGCGCGCGTCGATCGCCGCGCCGTCCGCGCGGAGGCCTCGACGTCGGCGGCGGCGCGCTGTCAGATGTCGTCGAGTGCCGAGTTCGTCAGTGTCGCGAGCTCTCGCGTTTACGTTTTTCTTGCATATCGCAAATAAGGTTAACATAACACGCCCCTCCACCCTCTCGCCGCTCGCCCGCTTCACTTAAACCCGCCCGCGCTCGCGTTGTTGTAAATCCTATTCGAGATGTCCGTCGTGCTCTCCGCGGCGACAGGCACCGCGAAGCTCGCGCGCGTCCTCTTCAACTCCTCCCCGGCTCGTTTCCACTGCGCCTCGCTCGCGGCAATGCTCAGCACGTACAACCCGCCGCCGCTGATACACGCGCTGAGCAGCACCTTGCTCCCGTTCGGGACGTCCAGGTCCCACTCGTAGTACGTCTGCTTCCCCGCGTCCTTACGCACGTTCGAGCCCGCGGTCTCCGCGAGCGCGATGTCCTCGACGTCGACGCCGAACGCGACTTTCGCGTCTACGTTCCCAATGGGTCCCAGATCCGTGACGCTCTCCTGCCCGCCGCGCGACTGCACGCTGCACGCGATGAAATCCGCGACGACGCCGCCGTCCGCGTCCACGAACTTTGGCAGCGCGTCCGTGTATCGGTAGTTTGGCCCGTACGTGTCCGTGTACATCATGAACTTGGTCTGCTTCGCGCGCTGGCCCGGGCGCGACTGCCACGCAGAAGGGAGCGAGACGGCGACGGGGACCTTCGTCCAACGCTCGTTCGCGACGCCTTCGAACGCGACGACGGAGGTGGGGGCGTCCGCGCGCGCGGGCGAGGGGGCGGACGACGCGAGCGTCGCCGCGGTCGCGGCCGCGGCGAGGAGGACGTCGCGTCGCGACGGAGGAGGCGCGGCGTCGGCGTCGTTTTTCGAGATCGCCGACGTCGTCGTCGCGCGACGAGATGACGCGGGCGCACGGGACGACGCGCGGCGCGGCCGCGCGGCGGCGACGCGCGCGACGCCGCCGCGCGCGAGCGCGGACGAGGACGACATGAGAGGAACGACGAAGCGGCGTGCGGTGCCGGCCGCGCGAGGGGCGTGTGCTATGCAACGCGTCGAGTCGGATGGATAAGTGTGTCGTCGCGTTTGCGTTTTCCACGACCGAAAGGAAGATTTATAAAAAATCCGCGAGGCGTCCTCCGTCCGCCTCTCGTTCATCACACCGCGCTCTGCCCCCTATCCTTCGCGCGCAACGACTCCTCCAGCACGTCCAACGCGCGCTTCGCCCCCCCCGCGCCGATCCCGAACCTCGCCCGCTCCTCCTCGCTCATCGTCTCGATCTTCGCCGCGGCCGCCGTCAACAGCGCTCGCGTCGTCTCCGCGTCGGCGACGTTTCGCCCCGCCCCCGGCCTCGTTGCCGTCGCGCTCCCGACCGCGGTCGCGAGCGTGAGCGTCTCCTCCATCATCCCCGCGAGCACCGCGTTGGGTAAGTACGCGATCTTCCCGCTCGACGCCTCGAACAGCTTCTTCTTCTTCTTTTGAATCTTCAGATACCCGAGCACGACGGCGGCGGCGGCGGAGTCGCCGCATCCGACGGTGTCGACGACGTCGATCTCCGGCGCGCCGACGTACACGGCGTCGCCGCGGCGCGTGAACGCGGCCGCGCCGTCGGGCCCGCACTTGATCACGACCCAGTCCGCGGCGCACCCGGGCCGCGAGAAGAGCGCCCTGGCGACGCTCAGAGGGTCCAACGCGTCGTCGCCGCCGCCGGAGGTCGGGTCGCTCTCCGCGAACGACGCGCCCACCGCGGTGCCCGTCTCCGTCGCGCCGTGCCCCGCGCCGGCGACCGCCTCGATCCCCGCGAGCGCGGCCGCCTCCTCCAGCGTCGCGAGTATCACGTCCGTCGCCGCCAAGATCGTGTCCAGCGCCTCCTTCCTCCCCGCGTCGCCGCTGACGAAGGTGAACGCCCTCGGGCCCGGGTCGAAAAAAACCCCCGCGGCGTTGAGCTTCGCGAGCGAGATCGCGCTTCGCACCGCAGCGGGGCTCAGCTCGTCGAACACGAACCCGTTGACGAACACCGCGGAGCACCGCGCGAGCGCGCTCGCCGCGCCCTCATCCACGACGTCCACGCGCGACAGCAGCGGCCACGGCCCGAGGTCGTAGCGCGAGCAGAACGCGTGCCCGCCCGCGCCGTCGGTGAGGACGAAACACTTGAGCGTCTCCGTCTGCGCGTCCTCGCTCGCGATCGCGCACAGGTCTCGGAACGGCACGCCCTCCGCGGCGAGCGTCTCGACGAGGAACGCGCCGTGCGCGTCGTCGCCGACGTGCCCGGCGCACTCGGCTCTGAGCCCGAGCCTGGAGGCGGCGATGAGGAAGTTGCAGTTCCCCCCCACCTCCCAGCGCGCGTCGTCCTTCGCTTCCGCGGACGCGTCGAGCGACGCGAGCGACGCGTCGGTCTTGAGCGCGTCGGGGGAAGGGATCGGCGCGGGCGGGAGGAGGACGTCGACGCACATGTTCCCGAGCGCGACGACGTCGATCGCGCCCGCGCTCGATTCGGTCTCTGCGGAGGAGTTGGGAGAGAGGGAGGGAGGGAGGGATGAGCGCGAGGGAAGAAGACGGACGTCGCGGCGCGTCGCGGAAGGCGGCGAGAGCGCGCGAAAAGAAACATTTCGACGAAGCGGCGCGCGGACGAAAGAGCTCGAATCATCCGACGCACCTCTCGCCGCCGCTCGCGTGAGGGTGCGGACGACGCCGCGCGCACGGCGTCGCGAACGCCGCGCGGGGGCGACGGGCGCCGCCCGGGCGATCGCCAAGGTCGCCATGCGCGCTCGGACCGCCTGCGCGCGGCGGGGAAGAGACGCGCGCGCGAAATCTAATCTCTCTTCGTCGAGCGCTCGAAACTCGTGGCGCTCGCGTTCGCGCTCGCGCCTTATCTGTGCCGCAACGCGCGCGGCGACGTCACTCCTCGCGAGCCGCCACCCAGACGCGCTCGCCGCCCGCATCGGGTCACGGACGCGCGCCTCGCTCGTTCCCTTCGCGTCTCGAACGCGCGCCGTCGCGAGCCGCTCGCTCGTTCGCGCATGGCGCTGCGTCTTCCCGCGCGTCCATCGACCGCGGTCGCCGCCGTCGCCGCGCGAGCGCCGCGATCCTCCGCCTCCGCGCGCGCGACGACGACGACGACGCGCGTCGCGTCCATGTCCTCGCGCGCGCGCCTCGGCTCCCTCGCGCTCGCGACGTGGTCGCGATGCGCGCGCCCCGCCGTCGCGCCGAAGCGCGCGGCGGCGCGCGTCGTCGCGTCGTCGTCCTCGCGCGGCGCGTCGTCGTCGTCCGCGCGCGACGCCGTCGCGTCCGACGTCGCGGAGACCTCCTCCGACGCGGAATCGACCGCCGCGCGATCGGGCGGGTACCCGTTCGCGGACATCGAGGCGAGATGGCAGAAGCACTGGGCGGAGAACAAGACGTTCAAGACCCCGGACCAGATCGACACGACGAAGCCGAAGTTCTACGCGCTGGACATGTTCCCGTACCCCAGGCGCGTCGTCGCGGCGTCGCGTCGCGTCCCCGCGCTCGCCCACCTCAACCCTAAACCCTCAGATCGATCGAACGATCGATCGACCGATCGAACGATCTATCCATCCACCGTTCGAACGATGGGCGCGATCATCCCCTCCCTCCTCCCTTCCTTCTACGCGCCCCCCTGACGCGCTCGTCCTCCCCCCCCCCCCTTCCTCCTCCCACTCCATCAGCGGCGCCGGGCTTCACGTCGGGCACCCCGAGGGATACACCGCGACGGATATCGTGGCGCGGTACAAACGCATGACCGGGCACAACGTCCTGCACCCGATGGGCTGGGACGCGTTCGGGCTGCCCGCGGAGCAGTACGCGATCGAGACCGGGACGCACCCGCGCGATACGACCGTCGCGAACGTCGCGCGGTTCCGCGAGCAGCTCCAGTCGCTGGGGTTCTCGTACGACTGGGACCGCGAGGTGGCGACGTGCGAGCCGCAGGTGCGTTCTATACACTGGTTCCCATACGACAGCGTTGGCGTGGTAAACGCCGATCCTTAAGGACTTTGCCCGGCGTCTCTCTCCGCCCATCCCTCGCTTTCAATCCCCGTCCTCGACGCCTTTCAACTCCAACTGACGCCTTTCAACTCCACCCCGACATCGCTTTGTATGGAATGGCCCGCAGTACTACAAGTGGACGCAGTGGATCTTTTTGAAGCTGCTGGAGAAGGGTCTGGCGTACCGCGCGGAGGTGCCCGTGAACTGGTGCCCCGCGCTCGGCACGGTGCTCGCGAACGAGGAGGTGATCGACGGGCTGTCCGAGCGCGGGAACCACCCAGTGATTCGCAAGCCGATGAAGCAGTGGATGCTGAAGATCACCGCGTACGGCGACCGCCTGCTGAGGCGCGTCGTCCTCACACTGGTCCCCATACGACCGCGTTCGCGTGGTGAACGCCGTTCCTTAAGGACTTTTGCCGGCGTTTCTCTCCGCCCATTCCTCGCGTTGAATCACCGCCATCGACGCCTTTCAACTCCGCCTGACGCCTTTCAACTCCACCCCGACTTCTTCGCTTCGTACGGAACGACCCTCATCAGCGACCTCGACGACCTGGACTGGCCGGAGAGCATCAAAGAGATGCAGCGGAACTGGATCGGTCGAAGCGAGGGCGCGCAGCTCGCGTTCGAGGTCCCGGGCGTCACGGGCGACGAAAACAAGCTTGAGGTGTACACGACGCGCCCGGACACGCTGTTCGGGGCGACGTACCTCGTCGTCGCGCCGGAGCACCCCCTCGTCGGCGCGTTGTCGACGGCTGAGCAAAAAGCCGCGGTGGACGCGTACGTAGACGCGGCGTCGCGGAAGAGCGACCTGGAGCGCACCGAGCTCGCGAAAGAGAAAACCGGCGTGTTCACCGGGTCGCACGCGAAGCACCCGCTGACGGGCGCGGACGTCCCGGTGTGGGTCGCGGACTACGTGTTGGGGACGTACGGCACGGGCGCCATCATGGCGGTGCCCGCGCACGACGACCGAGATAAAGAGTTCGCGGAGACGTTCGATCTGCCGATCGTCCAGGTCGTGGCCCCGCCCGGTGACGAGAATAACACGGACGCCGACGCGTGCTACAGCGGCGCCGGGACGATGATCAACAGCGCGTGCGACGCGCTGGACGTGAACGGCTTGGACGACGCGACAGCGGGCGAAAAGGTGACGGCGTGGCTGACGGCCAACGGCGTCGGAGAGAAGAAGGTCAACTTCAAGCTTCGCGACTGGCTCTTCGCGCGGCAGCGGTACTGGGGCGAGCCGTTCCCGGTGGTGTACCCGGAGGGGTCGGATGTCCCCGTCGCGGTCCCGGAGAGCGAGCTCCCTTTGACGTTGCCGGACACGGATAACTTCAAGCCGAGCGGAAGCGGCGAGGGCCCGCTCGCGAATATCGAAGACTGGGTCGCCACCGTGGACCCTCTCGGCGGCGGCCCCGCGCGCCGCGAGACGAACACGATGCCGCAGTGGGCGGGCTCGTGCTGGTACTACCTCCGCTTCATCGACCCCAAGAACGAGAACGCGATGATCGACGGCGACTTGGAGAAGTACTGGATGCCCGTCGACCTCTACGTCGGAGGCGCCGAGCACGCGGTGCTGCATCTTCTCTACGCGCGGTTCTGGCACAAGGTGCTGTACGACATCGGCGCCGTGAGCACCAAGGAGCCGTTCCAGCGGCTGGTGTCGCAAGGGATGATCTTGGGCGAGGTGGAGTACACCGCGTTCGTGGACGCGGAGGGGAAGTACGTCAGCGCCAAGGGCGCGCTACAGACGGAGGGGCTGGACGCCGTGAAAATTAACGCGGAGGACGTCGCGAAGAAGGGCGACGGGTTCGTCCTCGCGGCGGACGAGAAGATCAAGGTGAACGCGCGCGCGCACAAGATGTCCAAATCGCGCGGGAACGTCGTCAACCCGGACGATATCGTCGACGCGTACGGCGCGGATTCGCTCCGCCTGTACGAGATGTTCATGGGGCCTCTGCGGGAGACCAAGGTGTGGCAGACGAAGGGCGTGGAGGGATGCTCGCGGTTCCTCGCGCGCGCGCATCGGCTGTTCGACGGGGACATCTCCGACGAGTCCGCGGACGAGGCGCAGCTGAAGGAGATTAACAAGTGCGTCGCGAAGGTGACGGAGGAGACGGAAGGGATGCGGTTTAACACCGCCATCGCGGCGATGATGGAGTTTACCAACGCGGCGACGAAATGGGAGAAGAAACCGAGGGAGTGCTTGAGGCCGTTCGCGCTCTTGCTGTCGCCGTACGCCCCGCATCTCTCCGAGGAGCTCTGGACAAAGCTCGGGAACGAGGGCTCGAACGCGTACGAGACGTGGCCGGTCGCGGACGAGAGCTTGCTCGTGGAGGATGTCGTCACGATGGCGGTGCAAGTTAACGGGAAGATGCGCGGGAAGATCGAGGTCACCGCCGACAGCACGCGAGAGGACGCGATGGCGCTCGCTATGGCGCAGGAGAACATCGCGAAGTTCATCGGGGACGAGTCCGGGATCAAGAAGATCATCTACGTCCCGGGGAAGATCTTAAACGTCGTCGCGCCGCAGCCGAAGAAGTGACGAGCTGATGATGAGCGAGCGAGATTTTAATAATGAGTTGACGATATATATTGCGTTCTCGAACAGAAACCAAACGACACGCCTTCGACCAGACCTCGCCGCGCCTCGGCAGTTCCGCCGCGCGCGCGCGACCGTCGGGTCGATCTCTCGAGGAGAAGGCCGAATCCGTCGCATGCGACGTGGGGTGTCTGGCAGAGGCACCGATACGACGAACGCGACGGCGCCGAGACGCGGGCTTCGCATGCGCGGCCGCGCGCTCGGCACCGCGCAGAACGACGAGAACGCGGGCCTCATGGCGCCGCCCGAGTCGAGGATCAAGAAGTTCCGCGCGAGCATCGCGACCGCGCTCGTCCTCCTCGCGGTCGTCGTCCTGGCCGCGCTCGTGGGGACGGGCGTCATGCAGGGCGGCGCGCCCGGGATCGGCGACGCCGCGAGCCGCGGAGGCGCCGCGCTCGCGACCGAGGGCGTCGCGTCGCCCGTCGTCGACGCGTCGTCGTCCACCGTCAGGGCGCAGTCGTCGCCCTCCCGCTCCTCCGCGATCGAGGCGCCGCGCCCGACCGCGGCGTTTAAGGACGCGACGATCGAGACGCCGCGCCCCGCGACGGCGGCGAAGAAGGACGACCGCACGCCGTTCCCGACGGTGCGCGCGGGCGAACCCCCCGTCGTGTACGCCTACGAGATCGTGCGCGCGCATCCGCACGACGAGAACGCGTTCACGCAAGGCTTGACGTACGCCGCGCCGGACGCGCTGTACGAGAGCACCGGGAGCGTCGGCGGGCCGTCCACCGTGCGCGTCGTGGACCTTAAGACGGGCGCGGTGAGGAAGAAGACGACGCTGCCGACGCGGAGCTTCGCGGAAGGGCTCGCGGTGGACGGCGACGGGAAGATCGCGGTGCTGACGTGGAGGTCGCCGCTGGGATATCTCCTCGACCCGGACACGCTGAACGTGACCGGGACGTTTCGAACGTCTCTGAGCGACGGGTGGGGGCTGACGAACGACCCCGCGGGCGACGGGACGTTGATCGCGACGGACGCGAGCGACGCGTTGAAGTTTTTGAAGACCACGGGGGGGGGCGGCGGCGGCGGCGGCGCGACGACGACGACGACGATTAAGTCGACGACGATCAAAGACGGCGACCGCGCGATTCGGTTCGCGAACGAGCTCGAGACGGTGCGGGACGAAGTGTGGGCGAACGTCCTCGAGCGCCCGTGCGTCGCGCGCGTGAACCCGAGCACCGGCGCCGTCGTCGGATGGATCGTTTTCAACGACCTGAAGTCGAAACTCCCGGCCGGGTCGAGCGTCGAAGCCGGGGTGATGAACGGCGTCGCTTACGACGCCGACGGCGACCGCGTGTTCGTCACCGGGAAGAACTGGAACGCGCTGTTCGAGGTGAAGATCATCGCGAAGGATGGAGGGGTCGACGCGGCGCGGAGGACGTGCTGGCCGCCGGCGTCCATGCCGATGTACGGGTACCCATAGACTAGCTAGTCGAGAACGCGCACGTCGAAAACTGATCGAAAACTGGCCCGAGTCCGCGCGTCGCCGCCGAAAGAGGTCTCCTCACTTGTTCGAGACCGGGGACGCTAAGCCCTCGAGCCGCTCGTACAAATCCGCGAGCTTCCCGCGCCTCGACTCCGCCTCCAACCGTCTCTCCTCCTCGTCGTCGTCCGTCGCGGCCGCGCGCTGGGGCGTCAACTCCGCGGGCGTCGACCGCGCCGCCGCCGCCGCCGCCGCCGCCGCCGCCGCCGCCGCCGCCGCCGCGACCGCCGGCACCCTCGACGGCGACGCGTCGTCCCTCTGTCCCCCACCTTCCGCCCCCGCCGCACGCTGGTTCACCTGCATCGACTCGATCAACTTCGCGAGCATCGCGGTGTGCCGGTCGTTCGCCTCGAGCCGCTCCGCGAGGCTATCGAACTGCGACCCGAGGCGTTGAAACCCGAGGCTCGTCGCCTCGACGCTCCGCGCGATCGCCTCCTTCGCGTCGTCGTCGTCCTTCTCCTGCGACGACGTCTGACTCCCCCAGAATCCCCCGAACGCGTCCCCACGTTCGACGCCGCTCGAGACGGGCGCGACCGGCGGCGCGGACGGACCGGGACCGGGACCGGGACCGGGACCGGGACCCGCGCCCGCGCCGGCGCGGTCGAAGGCGTATTCGTCGCTCCCCCCCGCCGCCGCGCCGCTCCGTCCGCCGCCGCCGCCGCCCCACCGTTCTCTGCTCGCGAACCGTCTCGCCTCGTCCGCGGCGTCCTCCGCGCGTTCCATCGCGACCCTGAGCTCTCTCTTCAGCTTCGCTTCCATCGCTTCCAGGGCCTCGACGCGGTCTACGACGTGTCGCAGCGCGTCGACGCCGGCGACGCCGCCCGTCGGAAACGCGCCGCGTTCCGGCCCCGCGCCCCACACGCGTCGCGTCGCCTCCTCCGCGAGCCGAGGCGCGGCGTCCTTCAGACGCTGCTCCGTCGCGCGGAGCGCGTCGAGGACGTTCGCGGTCGCGGTGTCCACGCGCGCGGCGAGACGCTGCTCCGCGGCGTCGATGCGCGCGTCCACGGAGCGCTCGTGCGCGGACGCCCAAACTCGAAACTGCGCGTCGAGGACGCCGATCGCCATCGCGCCTCCTCCTCCGCGCATCATCCCGCCGCCGTCGTCCATCGCGCCGCCGATCACGCCGCCGGCGCCGTCGCCGCCTTTGAGTCCCTTCCCGTCGAGCATCTTCCGCGCCATGAGAACGCGCCTCTCCTCCGCGTGCGTCAGCGCGTGCACCGCGCGCTCGGTCGCGGTGACGCGCTCGCTGACTTTCACCATCGCGTCGTGGTACGCGCTCTCTTGCTCCTCCGCGACGGACTGCGAGCACTTGATGAGCCTCGCGAGGTTCAGCATCTTCTCGTCCGCGACGCACGCGCTCGTCCCGAGCGCGGTGATGCGCTCGTCGAACGACTGCGCAACGAGGCACGCCTGCGTCACCGCGTCGAGCTGAGATTCGAGCCACGAGACGTACTCGTTCCGATCCGTCAGGAGCTTCCCCGCGCGCGGGTCCCGGCTCCTCCCGCGCTCCTCGGGGGAGAGGCGGTAGTCCTGCCGGCGGACGTACTCCTTCAGGTAGCTGTTGTCGTTCGACGCGAGCGCCATCGCGACGACGACCGCGGGGAGGGCGTCCGACGCGCGACAGACCTCTGTCTGGGGCAATTTGAACTCGACGCGGCGAAGAAAGGAAGCGCGCACTCGCACTCTCGAAGAAGAGCGCTCGTCGTGTCGTTCGCCGCATTCCGCGCGCGCCCCGAGCGAGGGCACCGGCGTCGCGGACGTCGACGGATCCCGACCCGCGCGCGTCTTCCTCCTCGCCCTCGCGCGCGTCTCCCCGCGCGCCGGGCGACGACGCCCGCGGACCGACGGGACGCGGCGTCCGCGGCATCCGACGTCTGCCGCCGAGAGCGACGCCCACCACTACTGTAGAGATTCGCGACGATGCCGCCCGGGGAGGACGCGCGCGAGCGCGAGCGCCGCGATCGCCAGCTCGACGCCGACGCCGCGCTCAACGACGCGTTCGTCGCCGCCGCGGGGAGCGACGACTCCGCCGCGCGGTCGCGAGGGGACTACGGATACGCCCAGGCACGTCGCGCGTCCCCTCGCGGCGACCCCTCCGCTCGCGTCGGAAAAACCAACCCTATCCCCGTTCGCCGTTGTTATTTCTCGTCGAATCTCGAGCTCACCGCCCGTTCATTCGTCTTCGTCTCTCTCTCTCTCTCTCGCTCTCCGCCCACAGAACGCGAAGCTGATGCGAGATAAACCCCCGGGAGACCGAACGCGCGGCCTCCCCGCGGACGAGGACGCGCTCGCGTCGTACGCGCGCAGGGTCAACCGCCCCGGACAGATTCAGGTGCGTTCTATACAAAAGTTTTTCACCCATCGCCCGGTTTCAACATTTGATCGCGTCCCCTTTCAACTGACCGGAGAACTGTTTTTGTATGGAACGGCCCTCAGTCCTTCGGAGTCGTCCTCCTCGTCGCGTCCGAGGCGAGCGCCGCGCGATGCGCGGCGACCGCGGGGACGATCCTCGCGGCGTCGACGAACTGCGCCGAGGTGCTCGGGGTGCCGTGCGACGAGCTGCTCGACGGCAACGTCTTCGAGGAGGGATCGACGCCGTTCGCGGCCAAGTCGCTGCCGGGGTTGACGCGCGCGTTGGGCTCGGGCGCGTATCCCTCGCACTGGTCCCCATACGACCGCGTTCGCGCGGCGAACGCCGTTTCTTAAGGACTTTCTCTCCCGGCGGGCGCATCTCTCCGCCCGCGCCTCGGTTTCGATCCCGACACACCTACGCGACGCCTTTCGACTCCCAAGTCTGACGCACCCCTGACTCCGCCCCGACTTCTTCGCTTCGCACGGAACGACCCTCAGCGGACCTCGCGACCAACGCGCCCGTCATCGTCGCGCTCGCGAGGAAACCGGACGATAAGATGTACGCGATCGCGCACGCGACCGAGGAGGGGATCGTGATCGACCTCGAGCCCGTGGACGCGGACGGAGACGAGATGCTCGAGGGTGCGCTGCGCGCGCAGTCGTCGGTGAAACGCGCGGTGTCGCACGTGCAAGACGCGTTCGAGAAGGGGGCGTACTTTCAATCCGTGACGGACGAACTGCGCGCGCTGCTCGGGTACGACCGCGTGATGCTGTACCGCTTCCACGAGGACGACCACGGCGAGGTCGTCGCGGAGAGCACGTCGCAGCACGCGCGCGACGCGTTCAAGGGGCTGCACTTTCCCGCGACGGACATACCGCAGGCGAACAGAAAAATTTTCATGTCCATGCGCAGCCGGATGATCGCGGACGTCTCGGGGCCGGCGTCGAAGGTGAGGCAGTGCAAGCGCACGCCGGACGACATCCTCCTGTCGGACTCGCAGCTCCGCGGGATAAGCGGGTGCCACGCGCAGTACCTGTCGAACATGGGCGTGAAGGCGACGCTCGTCGTGTCCGTCGTCGTCACGGCGCCGAGGAGCGCCATGCGAGACGCGGCGTCGGACGAGAGCCGACAGCGGCGGCGGCGCTCGCGCGGCGTTTCGACGTCGGCGGCCGACCGAGAGAGTTGGGACGGCGGCGGCGACGACGACGGCGGCTCGCAATCGCCGCCGCAGGAGAAACTCTGGGGGCTTATCGTGTGTCATCACTACCAGGGCCCGCACAGGGTGGCGTACTACCAGCGCTCCGCCGCGGAGTTTTTAGTCCGCGTGTTTTCGCTGCAGCTGTCGAGGATACTTCAATCGGAGCAGGCGAAGATCGAGTCGTCGCTTCTGTCGCACCAGGGCACGATCTGCAAGTCGTTGAAGTACGTCGAGGAGATGACCGGGTTCAACGCCGAGCTCACGCCGCAGATATTCTCGTCCGTCATGAGCATGGAACCCGGCTCGAGCGCGCTGTTCAAAGTCGCGAACGCGTCCGGGGCGGCGATGATCATCGGCGACACGATCTTCCACGCCGGCGAGTGCCCTCCGGACGACGAGATCGCAGCCATCGTGGCGTGGGTCTTACAGAGCAAAGACGCCGCGCAGGACCTCGAGGGTCTGGACGGCGGGAAAGAAGCGATCGTGTACTCCACGAAGAGGAGGCTGCCGCTCGGCGGGATGTGGTCGACGGACTGCCTGTCCAGAGAGGGGATGCCGAACGCGGAGGCGCTGAAAGCCACCGCGAGCGGCGTCGTCGTCGTCGACGTCGCGCCGCTCGTGTTGCCGACGTACAACGGCGAGTCCGCCGCCGGGGGCGGGGACGACGCGAACCGCAAGACGAAGCTCAAGGGCGCGCCCGCGGCGACGAATATATCTCCGGCGGTGCTCGCGTGGTTCCGAGGCGAGTACATCAAGGAGAACACGTGGGCTGGGGACAAGGACGCGCCGCAGGCGTACCACAAGGGCGTGGAGATGACCCCGCGGGAGTCGTTCAGGGCGATCAAGGAGACGCTCACCGCGCAGAGCGAGCCGTGGCGGCCGCACGAGAAGGCGTCCGCGGCGGCGATGCAGCTCCTATTCCGCGACACCATCGCCGCGTGTCGCGCCGGCGGAAACGCGAGCGGGGGCGCGAGACGGGCGTCGATCGACGAGAGCGACGCCTCGAACGCCGCCGCGGAGGAGCTGCGAACGATCATCGGCACGGCGGACGTGCCCGTGATCAAGGTGGACGCGAGCATGACCGTCACGGAGCACAACAAGTTCGCCGCGAGCGTCCTCGTCGGCGCCAGCAGAAGCGCGGTGGGGCACAAGATATCCGAGTTTCTCGAGCCCAACAGCGCGAACTTCCTGGACGTGACGCTGCGGAACGCGTTCAAGGAGCTCGTCGAGCCGAGGCCGTTCGCGGTGCAGTTCAAGCTCGCGAGAAGCGCGGGGGATCTGATGGAGGCGAGGAAGCGCGCGACGTCGAGGAACAGCCCGAAGCCGCGGTATCTCGCCATCTTGTTGTTCGCGAAGCTGGTGTGGAACGCGTCCGCGGAGACGTCCGCGATCGTCCTCACCGGACGCGACATGACGACGCATCGTACCGCGATGCGGGACCTGACGCTCGCCGCTTTCGAGTCCGGGTCGAAGCCGGAGAAGGATCTGGACGTGAGCGAGGTGATGAGCGACGTCATGATCGCCGCCGCGAGCGTCGACGGCGAGGGGCGAGTCGATCAGTGGAACGAGAGGATGGAGTTCGCCACCGGTTTGCGTCGCGCGGACGCGCTCGGGAAACTCTTCGCGGGGGAAGTTTTGGGCACGAAAGGCGCGCTGCACGTCCTCCCGAACGGCGCCGCGAACGCGGACCCGATGACGGAAGTACAGGCGAGACTCGTGCAGGTGCTAGACGGCGACGCGAACGGCGAGCTCGGCGTCGACGGCGTCGGCGCGCGCCTGATGAGAGAGGAGCTTCCGGCGACCGGGGAGTCGTCCGCGGCGACGTCCGAAACCGAAACCGAAACCGATACCGGCGACGGGTCCACGTCGACGACGATGCACGCCGCCGGCGGCGGCGTCTTAGACCGCCGACTCACGAGCGCGCTGAACGAGCACGCGCTCGTGCGGTTTCTCAAGGCTTCGAACTCGACCGGCGGCGCCGCGGCGGGCGGCGGCAAGCGCTCGCCCGCCGCGGGCCCCGCGACGTCCTCCTCCGCGATATCCGCCCCCGCGGCGATGGAGGTGCTCGTGTTCTTCCTCGCGCGCCCCGAGAGCGACGGTGCGTTCATCTTCTTCATGGACATGTCCATGCCTCGCGCGATGGAGAAGGCGCTGAGCGTGCAACACGCCGCGGAGGCGGCGTCGGACGCCAAGTCGCGCCACATCGCGTTCATGTCGCACGAAATTCGAAATCCCGTGAACGGCATCCTCGCGTCCGTCGAGGCGATCAACGAGATGATGCCGATCATTCAGCGCGCGCGGGCGAACCGCGGCGAGAGCGGCGGCGTCGACGACGCGCACTACAACGAGGTCGAGGAGCTCGTGCTCACGACGCTCGCGTGCTCCGATCAACTCCGGAGAACCGTGGACGACATGCTCGATCTCGACAAGCTCGAGGAAGGGAAGCTCGTGCTGACGCTCGCGCCGTTCAGCGTCCGTCGGATGTTACGGAGCGTCGGCGTGCAAGTGAACGCGGCGGCGCGCGCGAAAAACCTGCGGTTCGTGACCTCCGTATCGCCGCTCCTCGCGGACGTCGCGCTCGTCGGCGACGCGGGTCGGATCCAGCAAGTCTTGACCAACTTTTGTTGGAACGCGGTCAAGTTCACGACGGAGGGCGTCGTTACCGTGGAGGTGACGTGCGACGCGAGAGTAGACGCGGATGACGAGCCCATCACGTGCTTCTTCAAGGTGATCGACACCGGTCAGGGGATGTCGAAGCAGACGATGGAGAACATCTTCGACCGGTTCAGCATGGCGAATCACAAGGTGGACAAGTACGGCGGCAGCGGGCTCGGGCTGACGATTTGCCGCTCCCTCGCGGAGCTAATGCACGGCCAGATTCACTGCATGTCCGTCCCGGGCGAGGGGTCGACGTTCGTGTTAGAGCTGTCGCTCGACGCCGTGGAGCCGGACCCGGCGGACGCGTCGTCGATGCGGTCAGGCGCGAGCGCGGGGACGAAGTCGCGGCGCGAGAGCCTCGTCTTCGATGCGGCGGACGCGTCGGCGGCGAGATCGCGAAGGGCGAGCTTCATCGACGGCCCGAACGTCGCGTCGGTGCCGGTGACGGATTCGCGCGACGACGACGACGACGCGGCGGCGGCGACGACGACGACGACGACGACGCGCGAGCCGCGGCAACGGCAGCCGAGAGATATTCTCCCGCGGCCGTTCTCGCGGCGAAGCGTGCTCGTCACACCGGACGGCCGCGAGGTGGAGGTGGAGCACCCCGCGGACGCGTCGCCGCCGCCGAGTTTTTTTCAAACGTCGCCCTCCTCGTCCGCCGCCGCCGCCGCGTGGAAGGTTCACGTCGTGCGCGAGCAAATCGGCGAGACGTCCGTCGCGGTGCTCGCGGACGTCAGCGTGGGCGAGGAGACGCGGCAACACTGGGGCGGCGCGGCGTGCGGCGTCGACGGCGTCGGCCCGGCGTTGGCGCGCGCCACGGAGGACGCGATCGCTCGCGCGCTGCGTCTGTACGCGTCCGAGAGCGGGATTCCTTCCCCGGCGCGCGACGCGATCGGGGGAATCGGGGGGTTTCCGTCGCCGTCGCCGTCGCCGCTCGCGCGCGGACCGACGCCGTCGAGCGCGGCGCGCGCGTCGTCGTCGCCGCCGCGGTTCACGCGAGACGAATCGCCCTTGAAGGCGTCCCTCGCGGATCGCCTCGCGTTCGCGGCGGCGATCGCGGACGATTCGTCGCCGTCGATTCCGACGCCGGCGCCGACGGCTTCGCAACCGCAGACGTCCTCGCGACCGCAACCGCAACCGCAATCGCAGTCGCAGCGAACGCACGGACAAAAGCCCATGAGCGTCCTCATCGTGGACGACGACGTCGTCAACGTGAAGATTCTCAAGCGCGCGTTCGTGAAGAACGGCGACGACGTCACCACGGGCGAGGACGGCCAGGACGTCGTGCGACTGCTTCTGAACGAGTCCAAGCGCTACGACGTCGTGCTCCTGGACGAGAACATGCGGCACATGAACGGCAGCGCCGCCGTGGAAGAGACGCGGCGGCACGAGGCGAGCGCGGGGGACGACCCCGACGGGGGAGAACGATGGAGTCAGCTCGTCGTCGCGACGACCGGGAACGCCGCGATGAGCGATAAGTCAAAGTACCAGAAAGCTGGGTTCAACGGGGTGTTACAGAAGCCGATGAAGCTCAGCACGCTCGTGAGGTGGGTGCACGACTTTCACGCGTTTTGGAGAGCGACGGGCGGCGGGAAGTGGACGCCGGGGGATCCCGTCCCGGCGGGGTGCGTCGCGCCGACGATTTCCGACGCCTCCGCGCACGAGGACGGATACTTCATCGGCGATCTCGAGGTGTTCGGGACCAAGTTACGCCGCGAGAAGTGAGCGAGCGATGCGTCGTAGGAAGACAATACAGTATGCGCTTTTCACGCGTCGTCTCGTCGCTTCGTCGCTCGTCGATTTCAACGAGCGTCGGATTCGTTCTTCGTGCGTCCGGTTCTTCTCTTCCTCCTCCGTCGCTCGCCTCGCCGCGCCGCGCCGCGCGTCACCCCGAGGTGCTCTCCACGAACAGCGCCTCTTGCCTCTGCGTCAGCCCCAACTCCTCCAGCGTCTTCCCCCCCTCCCCGTCCTCCGTGAACGTCCCCCGCGGGAACTGCCTCGCGAGCTTGAACGACCCGTGCTCGAGGTGCCCCTCCGGTCGTTCCATACGAGCGAACGTCGGGGTGGAGTTCAAAGGCGTCAGTTGAAGGTGAAAGGCGTCGAGGGCGGGGATTCAAAGCGAGGGGTGGGCGGAGAGACACGCCGGGAAAAGTCCTTAAGGATCGGCGTTCACCACGCCGACGCGGTCGCATGGGGACCAGTGTAAGGGACGCACCTCCGCGATGAGAAACGAAAAGACGGCGGACAACGCGTGCGTTCGCAGAAACCGCCGCCTGACCCGCCCGCCCGACGGCAGCCGTATCGCGACGTCGACGACGCCGTCGCCCCCGGCCGCGGGCTCGTCCGGCAGCGCGCTCGACGCCGCGGCGACCGCGGCGTCTCTCATCTCCGCCTCCGCTTTCGCCGCCGCCGCCGCCGCCGCCGCCGCCTCCGCCGCCGCCCTCTCCGCGCGCGCCTCCTCTTCACGCTTCGCCCTCGCCGCCGCCTCCTTCGCGCGGTCCATCCGCAGCGACTCTTCGTACGCGTAGTCCGTCTCGTTCTGTATCAACCGCGCTTCCATCACCTCCGCGGGCGCGGGGACGCCCCCGGCGTTGAGCAACCCGCGGTCGCCGCCGCCGCCGCCGCCGCCGCCGCCGCCCGAGACCCCCAGCCGATGCGCAGGGGGCTCGTACGGCACGCCGAGCATCGCCGCCTCGATCATCCGCGCCTCCTCGCGATCGATCCCGTCGGGGAGTTCGAAATCGCCCCCCGCGCCGCCCGCGCCGCCCATCCCGTCGATGCCGATGCCGATGCCGCGGCCGCCGAACGCGAGCGGCGGCGGGCGGTGGTCCATCTGATGCGGCGATTTCGCCGCCGCCGCCGCGTCGCCGTCGTCGTCGATGGTGATGACGCCGGCGTCCATCGACGCCGCGATCGCGCTGTTCATCATCTGGTCTTCCATGTCGTCTTCGTCGACGACGACGTAGTGGAAGTCCCGCCCGCCGCCGCCGATGTCGCCCAGAGGTCGCCTCGCGGCGCCGCCGCCGTCCGCGACGACGCGTTCGAATCCCGGCGGCGACGGCGCGTAGTCCGGATCCTCGTCCGCGTCGTCGTCGCCGAGGTCGATCACCGGGTCGTTCAGATTCAGACCGACGCCGACGGTCGCGACCGGGGGCGACGGCGGCGACGCCCCGGACGCGGCGAGATCCTTCGCTTCCTGCGCGTCGATCAGCGCGTTCTGCCAGCTGCCGTCGAAGAAGGCGTCGACGGATCGATCGAGATCCCACTTGTATTGCTGCGCGCGGACGGCGCGCGAACGGAGGGCGAGCGGGGGGGGGGGGCTCAGTCGGGGTGGGAAGGCGGCGTCTGAAGCGCGTCGGCTGCCTTCGACGCCGCGCCGATCGCGGGGCGCGACGCCGAGACGCGAGGAGGGATCGGGAGGGACCCGTCCGAACGTCGTCCGCGTCTAAACGTCATCCACCGCGACTGCTACGGGAGGAAGGCGACGCGTCGCGTCGTCGGGGACGCGGACTCGGACGCACCTCCATGATCGCGCGGGACGTCCCGGCGTCGCACGAGGTCACGGCGACGAAGGTCCCCACCGCGGTCTCCTTCTCCGCTTCGTTCATCGCGTCGCTCGGTACCGCGTCGGCGCGGCGACTGTGGAAGGCGTCGTCGTCGCCTCCCAGAAACGTTGACGTCGACGACGTCGTCGCGAGCAGCGCGCGAGCGCCACAAAAAGATTACTCGTCGCGTCCGACCGCGACCACTCCGCTTCGCGCGGCGGCGCGTCGTCGCGCGGAAGCGACCACCGCGCGCCGCTCCGCGTCGTCGTCGCCGCCGCCGCCGCCGTCCGTCGCGCGCGCGTCATGGCGGACGCGGACGAGTGGACGGTCGTCGGCGCCAAGTCGCGTCGGAAGATGAGCGGGAGATCCTTCGAGGCGCTCCAGCGCGCGGCCGTCGCGGGCGCTCAAACCGCCGCGGAGGACGCGCCGGGGATGACGACCGAGCGAGCCGCCGCGGCGTTCGAGCGCGCGAGGCGAGAGGTGGAGGCCGCGCCGTTCCTCCCAGCGCTCCTGCGCGCGCTCGAGCCGTCGACGAGCGACGCCGACGACGCTACTAACGCCGCCGCCGCCGACGCCGCTGACGCGACCGACGACGCGAACGACGCCGCGCGCCGCCGCGCGTTCCCGCGCCCGGACGCCGTGGTCGTCCTCGGCCTCGGATCCCCCAGCGCGAGCCTCGTCTCGCGGTACCAGCTCGCGCTCGCGCTCGCGCTCGCGGAGCGCTTCGACGTCCCGCGCGCGTCCGTCGCGCTCTACGACCCGGCGTTTTCGCCCGTCGACGTCGCGCTGTTGACGCGCGTCCTCGGCTGCCGCGCGATGACGCGCGAGGCGTCCGACGCGATCGCGGGCGACGCCGCGACGCCTCGGACGACGCCGACGATGTTTTTCATGCCGCACTGCGAGGCGTGGCTGTACGAGAACGTCTTGAGGGCGCACTGGGGACGCGCGGGGAGGGAAGCGAAACCGCCGTTGCGCGCGCACTCGTTTTGCGGGAACACGTTTGAAACGTACGTCGAGCGGTGGGCGACGCGCGGCGGCGATCCGAAGCGCCCGAGGCGCGTCCTCGCCGCCGCGGGGTTGATAGGAGACGTTGAGCGCGGCGGGATCGCGGTCGAGGTGGACCCGACAGGGAGCTTCGACGGGCGAGGCGCGTTCAACGACACGAGCGTCATGGTCGCGGGGGGCGCGGGAGCGGCGCTTCCGGAGGTGTCCGACGACGACGACGACGAAAGTCCTTAAGGAACGGCGTTCACCACGCCAACGCGGTCGTATGGGGACCAGTCTTGTGTGGACGAGGCGTGCCCGTCCCGCGGACGTAGACTAGTCTAGTCTAGCTATCTCATAGGCACGCACGCAGAGCGCGCGCGACGTGCGCACGAGGGAACAGAAGCCTCTCGCGTCGGACCCTCGGACGAGACGACCCCTTCCACGACAACAGAAGCCGCGACCTCCACTTCCCTCCGCGCGCATGGCGTTCGTCCGCCGCGCGACGCCGGTCTCGCGCTGCCCCGCCCGCGCGGCGACGCCCGACGCGTTCCCTCGCGCGGCGTCGCTGCGCGTCGCCCCCGCGGACGCGGCGGACGCGACGAAGCTCATGCGCGTCGTCTACGGCGACTGGTCCGGCGCCGGCGCGTCGCTCGGCGGCTCGCGCGTTTCGTGGGCTCCCGCGCCGCTCCCGCGGACCGAGGCTGGGCGAGGGCGATACCTGTGGACGGACGCGTTCGCGGTCCTGAACTTCGTCTCCGCCGCGGAGCGCCGCGCGGAGATGGGCGACGCGGGAGGGAGGGACGACGCGCTCGCCGCCGCGCTCGCGCTCGTGCGCGCGGTGCACGAAACGCTCGGTCAACCCTCCTCGCGCCAGGTCCCGATGTCTCTCTCGTCGCGCGCGCCGTTCGCGCTGCCGGGCGCGTCGTCGTCGTCGTCGTCGTCGTCGACGACGACGACGACGCGACACGTCGGCTTGCGCATCGGCAAGACCCTCGCCGCGGCGTCGAGCGACCCCGGGATGGCGCTGGACGGGATGTACTTTCACTACCACGACAAGTGGGTGTTCGCGCTCGCTCGGCTCGCCGACGCGTTCGGCGCGGAAACCTCCGTCGGCGCCGCGCTCGCGACCGAGGCGACGTCGCTGATCAAAGACGTGCACCCTCATTGGATCGAGCGCGACGAACACACCGGCGCGCCGTTGGGCGTGCGGTGGAAGATCAACCCGGACGCGAGTCCGATACGAGGGTGACACCCCGGACACCCCCTGACGAACATTTCATTTTAAATTACAATGTCGCACTTTTAGGTGCGACGCAACTAAACGAATTGTTTCTACAGGATGCCGCCGAGCCGACCGAGCACCGACGCGACGAGCGGTCTCGTAGCGTACCGGGCGGTGATGGCCTTAATTCGTCCTTCCGGTGACGGCGCCGCGGAGGACATCGACGCCGAGTTCGAGGACCTGAGCGCGATCGCGCGCGCGCTGAACCCCGCGGTGTCGCGCGACGCCCTCGGGTGGGGGCTCGAGGCGTGGGTCGCGCAGTGGCTCCCGCGCGTCGGCGGATGGGAAGAACGAGACGAAGAGCTCTCTCCGACGGTGAGAAAATACGCCGTTCACGCGGAGGACGTGCTTCGCGCGTCGTCGTTCGAGCGTGCGTCCGATCCGCGCGACCGTCGCGCGCTTCCGTTCCGCGCGTACGGCTCGTGGATCGGCGCGCGGACGTCCGGACGCGACGCGCTCGTCGACGCCGCCGCGAGGTTGGCGAGAGAGGCGGCGAGGGAGGAGTTACACGTCGCGAACCGCGGCGATCTGTTTCGCGCGCCGGCGGACGGCGGGCGCCCCGACCTGACGTCCATCAACCGAGTCATGCTCGCGAGCGCGCTGGACCCGCTCGCGTTCACGCGCCGCGCGGGCGAGGTGGAGATCGTGTGACGATGACGCTGATCGTTCTCTCGACGCGATGTTTCTCTTTTTTCTCTCTACGAGACGAGTATAAGGTTAAGATAAGAGAGCTCTCTTTTCTCGAGCCGACCGCGCGCGTCCTCCGAGTCGTCGCGTCACGCGCGGTACTTCGATATCATCTCCATGGACTTGTCCCACAACACCTCGCCGTTCCTCTCGTTCCGCCACTCGAACAGCTTGTCCGGCATCCCGAGCTGCCTCGCCCCGAACTCCTCCCCCGTGAGCAGAAACCAGTCCCCGCCGTCCACGAGCTGCCGCCGCGTCGCGCCCGGATACGTCACCCCCGGGTCGATGAAAAACTCCCCGCTGACGTCCTCCGCCGCCGGGTCCGACGCGAGCCACACGTGCGTCTTGGCGCCCTCGTCCGCGTCGCGTATCCCCATCTTCTTCAGCATCTTCCCGTTGCGCGTCTGCGCCTCCGCCTCCGGGTCGCGGTTCTCCGCGGTGAGATCCGGGAGTATGTACCGCACCAAGTTCGTCGTCACGATTCCGGGGTGAAACGCGTTCGACGAGATCCCGGGCTCGCGAATCGCGAGCTGATCCGTCATCAGCACGTTCTCCGCCTTGCTCGCGCAGTACGCGGTCCACTCGTTGTACGTCCGATCGTTCCAGTCGAGGTCGTCGAGGTCCACGGCGAGGTCGCCGAGGGTGTTGGCGATGCTGCTGCACGCGACGACGCGGCCGCGTTTGCCGTCGCGTTCGACGCGGTCGCGGAGCGCGGGCACGAGCGCGTCTGCAGCGGGGCGGGGCGGGGCGGGGTTCGGAGGGAGCGACGATGAGTTGGGGGGGGGAGAGCAGCGCAGCGCGTCCGCGAGTGAGGATCGATGGACGCACAGCGCAGCGCGCGAAGGGGGCGGGTCGCGGGTCGCGCGGGGATCGAATCCGTCCGGCGTCCGGCTGTCGTCGGTCGTCGGTCGTCGGTCGTCGGTCGCACCTTGCAGGAGAAAGTGCGCGAGGTGATTGACGCCGAAGTGCATCTCGTGGTTCTGTCTCGTGTGTCCCAGCGGCACGGCCATGATCCCGGCGTTGCACACCAGGACGTTCAGCGGGATGCCGGAGTCTTTGAACGCCTTGGCGTAGTCCGACACGGAGGCGAGGTCCGCCATCTCGAGCCCCGCGGCTGGCAAGACGTCGATCGCGGCGCCGGGGACTTTCTCGAGGATCGCCGTGCGCGCGACGTTCGCCTTCTCGACGGTCCTGCACGCGAGGACGACGCGCTCGCCTCGCGCCGCGAGCTGCTTCGCGGCGGAGAAGCCGACGCCGCTGTTCGCGCCGGTGACGAGGACGGCGCCTCGCGCGGCGGCGGGCGACGGCGACGCGACGACGACGTCGTCGTCCGCGAACGCGAGCGGGACGCGCGCGGCCGCGGTCGACGCGAGCGCGGCCGCGCCGAGGCCGAGGACGCCGCGCCGCGAGGACGCCGAGGGCGCGCGCGACGCGTCGTCCGCGGCGGCGGCGGCGGCGGCGGCCTCGGAGGAGGAGGAGGAGGAGGACGACGACGACGACGACGACGACGCGCGCGGCGCGACGACGCGACGATCGCGCGACGACGACGTCGCGATCGCGCGACGACGTCGCGCGGTCGCGGCGGCGCGCGCGGGGACGGCGACGCGGCGACGCGCGGGCTCGCTCCCGCGCGACGCGCGCGACGCGGTCGGGCTCAGCGCGCTCGCGCGCGATATCGCGAGCATGGCGGCGTGCGCGCGCGTGTCCCGCGCGGTGCCGTCTCGGTGCCGCGAGCGATGGATAACTCTCTCGGAACGACCGACGTCGACGCGCGACGAGCTCGACGGACACATCAATCAGCGAGCGGAGCGCCCT